CAATTACTTTGAAGCCCCCCCCCCCCCAAGTAGACTGGTATATTTCTGAGACTAGGAGTGTTGATACATTAAAATAATTATATTAAAACTAAATTCAATTCTATTAAAATTTAAATGATTAAATTGTCATTTCAGATGATCTAAGGACTAAATGTTATTTGGGGGTCGATTTATGACTTTCCCACTAGTTTGTGTTAATGGGAAAAGGTTTTTAAATTAATTTCAACTCAAAAATGGCAATTTCTACTCAAAATATTTTAGAGAATGACATGACTAGAAAAACGTACATTCAATATAGAAATTTCCATACATTTTTGAGATCTTTAAAGGTCTTGAAATTCTACTTTTAAACTTGTCTCATATATCCAGGTTTTCTTAAATTAAGATGACATGAAAATTACTAAAAATAAGAAATAGGCTGCCAGTTTACCTTATCTGGATTTTTAGCTCTTTAGCTTATTTTAAAGCTTGTTTTGTTTTATTTTAAGTGTGTTGAGGCCCCTAGTGGGTCATGGGCCCCTTTCAAAATGTATGTAGACTATGGTAAGACCAGAGGTGGAAAGTAACAAATTACATTTACTCGTGTTACTGTAATTGAGTAGTTTTTTTGTGTACTTCTACTTTTTAAAGTAATTTTTAAAATCTGTAATTTTACTTTTACTTAAGTATATTTTATTTGAAGTATTGTACTTCGCTACATTTAAAAAAAAATTTTCCTCCAAAAATCAGCATGATTACATATAGATTTTTTTTTACAACAGTTCAATAAACAAGAAGTTAATTAAGAGACTTGCATTTTAGACACCATATTGCCTGTTTTTGCTCTATTTCTCCAACAAAAATAATTCCAAACACAGCCACCATCTCTGAGCAACATGACGCTGTTTTGTTCCTGAATGATTCAACTGTTTAAATGATTCCGTTCAATCGCAATGACTCACTTATTAACAGTGACTTGCTGCCACCTACTGGAGGTTTTAATTTCACATTTAAAATATCTTTTGATTTTTTTTTCTTAGAATTTCAAATGAGTATTCAACATTTTATGTCTTATATTTTTATTTACAAATATACATTTGTAACTGCAGGTTAAATGCATTCATGTCCTGCATTAAACAGTGTGTAAATGCATGGTCCAACCCTGCTCCAACACACATAGCATGTAGTTTTCAAACAAGCCTAAATGATTAGATTAGCTGGATCAGATGTGTTTAATTAGGGTTATATCTAAACTGTGCAGGGCTGAGTTTGACACCCGTGGCGTATCCCATTTTTGCCTCCCTCCCACTGTTAAAATGTAACTAAGTAACTTTTACTCTGAGTACATTTTAAATGAGCTACTTTTTACTTTTATTTGAGTAGATTTTTAGACCGGTACTTTTACTTGTACTTAAGTAAAATTTCATTAATGTAATGGTAATTTTGAGTAGAATATTTTCGTACTCTTTCCACCTCTGGGTAAGACTGGTTTCCGCAGTCATTACTAGAGTTATTAATGTAAAAAATTACATTTTTACATTTCATGAGCAGAATTTGTGCATGCATGTGCTTGCTGTGGAGTTGTGGTGACCGTCCCATTAAGCCATGAGAACAGATCTGCAGCACAGACGGGTCTACCACTGAATCACGCACGTACCTTCTCTTTGGCTCGCAGCTCATCAAACATGTTCTGGATCTCGAGTTTCCAGTCCTCCTGGAGCGAATGGAAGGAGTCCTGCGGCATCTCGTCCATCACCTGTTCCTCCAGAGCCGTCAGCTGCTGCAGGATGGAGGAGAAGCTGGGCCGCCGGTGAGGATCCTGATCCCAGCACTCTGACACACACACATTTATTAAAATATCACTATTAGAACTTCTGATTGGATGACATCTCATCGTCTCTGTACTCTGCACTGTGACAGTAAATTGGAATCTCATCTAATCCCATTTAAACACACACACACACACACACACACACACAGAGAGAGACACAGAGACACATACACACACAGAGAGACACAGAGACACAGACACACAGACACATAGACACACACACACAGAGAGAGACACACACACACACACAGAGACACGAACACGCAGACACAGACATGCAAACACACACACACACACACACAGACACACACAGACACACACACACACACACAGAGAGACACAGAGACACACACACACAGACACATAGACAGACACACACACACACACACACACAGACACACACACAGCGTTAGATGATTCTGACTAATTACACACCATACTGCATCGCTCACTGCACATATTCAGCTCAATATTTCTACTCTTCATTTGCACTTTCTCCACCTCAAACCTTGCACTCTTCTACAGAAGCATAATATTTGATATATACACATTTATTAAAATATTGCTATTTGCACTTCTGATTGGATGCTAACTGCATTTCATCGTCTCTGCACAATGACAATAAAATTCAATCTAATCTAATCTAATACTATTATAGTTTTTATTCATATTTTGAATTAGCTTTTATTTGTTCAGTTTTCCTTTTAAATGTAAAGTTTTTTTTAGTAATTTTGTTGTGTGTTTTATTTTATTTTATTTAAAAAAATTTTTTTATATATATTTATATATATATAATAACAAATATTATAAAATACAACTATATAGATTTTATTAATTTTGACTTCAGTTTTAGTTATTTTAGCACATCAAGTTAAACTGGATGAAATTGTTGCCTTGGCATCTAGCTGAAATAAAATGTTGTGTGTATATATATATATATCTCAATCAAGTTCATTTTACTTCAAGTAATATTTTTATTTTTTACATTTTTGAATGTTTTTATTTTTATATTTTCATATATTATATTATTTTAGTTTCATTTGTAATAATTTTTGTTTTGTGTAATTTTTATTGGTTTTGTTTTGTTTTAAATGTCCATATATTGTTTTATTAATGTTTAACTGAACACACATGTTAAACTCAATGAAAATGAGAAATGTCGCCTTTGAAATTAGCTGAAATAAAAAAAACATTTAAGGATTTTTAAATATTTTATTTTATTAAATATATATTTCATTTTAAGTTAAAATTGATTTTCTTTCAAGTAACTGAATCTTTTTTTATGGTTTTAATTTTAATTTTCTGTTTTTTAGTTAAAGATTGTGCACCTAAAAGGCTCTTGCTTTGAAAAATGTATTATTATTTAGATTTAGTTTTTTGCTTTGGCTGTTAGAGGTAATGTATGAATAAACCCACCGGACATGAGCTGGGTGAAGGGCTCGGGGCAGGTGGAGGGGATGGGAAGGGTCAGTTTGTTCACAGCGACTCCGTAAGCCACAGCCAGACCATCGATCCCTCTGTAAGGAGCCTCTCCGGTCAGCAGCTCCCATAATAACACACCATAACTACAGACAGACAGAGAGACGGCCCACAGCCGCTTTATATAGCGTCTAATTACAGCATGCACACACACGACCGCTGCCAGGCTTCAGGAGGATCTCTGATGTTCTCTGCAGAGGAGAGCGTGAAGCGCTGAAGCCGTGCATCTCATCGGTGTCTGTGCTGATCAATCTAAAGCCGTTAATCTGAGCGCCGTGTCCCAGGCCAATCAGCTGCTTCAGAACAAAAGCACCCGTAACTTCAGGCCTCCAGACATTGCCGGCGGTGGATCAAACTACTGTTTCAATTAATATTCAGATATTTGAATATGCTTTAAAGCCCCGTTTGCAGCGCTGACACAGAGTGAGCTCATCTGAACACCACACCGGAGAAAACGATCAACATCAGCTCATTAAACACTCGAATATTTATCGCAGCTCACAAAACCTCAAACTTACAATGCATGATTACAGAATATTCAAAATATGCTATGATAAAAGCTGATGATGTTCAGGTGTGTTCAAACGGTGTGATTTTATTGTCTCATCGATGTAACATTTTTTCTTAATTAAGTGGTATTAAATTTACATTATATTTACAGTATGCTTTGATATGAATATTACAGCATTTAAAAGCTCAAAAAAGGCTTTTCATGTCTGATTAATTATAACCGCTATAAAAGTTCATACGGTGCATTTAATGCATGGTATACAAATTAGTACAGAATTTTGCAGCCGTTTCCTGAGCTTTCTGACATAAAATCACACTATTTAAAAGTGATTTTATGGCTCTTTCATTAGTGCATGTAATACATTATTTATCAGTGCATTGAGTTGCGTTGTGAATTCAAAACTTTCGCTTACAGACATTTTGCAACATCAAATTGTACCCTTATATAAATTTTGCCTAAACGAAATGGCTTTTATTTTTAGTTTCAGCTAACGGCTTCTTAAAGTCATGTTGAAGTATGGGATGAAATGATAACTCATTATGACTATCAGTGCTTGAGTAAAATATGATTTGTTCAGGCTCTTTCATGCAGTTTGACACTCTAGGACTGAATTTCCCTTTTCATCAGAGCTTCATGTTTAGCTCCTGCTTTCAGCGATTATTAGGTAATTATGTAACAGTGGCAGTGAGTTAATCATATGATCTCTAGTAGTGGGTTAACCGGTAATTCCTGAAGTCTATTAACTGCAATAACCACGACTCATCAACATCTAGAATAAAGCCTCAATGACAGCATGTACAGTTTGTTATGGAGCGCTTTCAACCTCGGAAAACCTCATCATTCAGCATTTTCTGTGTATTTCTGCAGTGCAAGAGAAAGCGCGTGCAAATGGTTGCCAGGTTGTGGAGAAAACGTAAACGCAGAGCTGAAAATAATAAGATCATCAGCACTTTGTCCAAAGTGTAAGAGAGAGTGTGTTAATGGTTGCCAGGTTGGGAAGAAAAATTAAACGTTGAGTCGTTTTAAGAGAAAAGCTCTGATTGGGGGATTTAAACTATTGAAATCTGGCAACCGTATGAAAACTCATGAAGGTCTATATCATTTACTCCTTTTTTGCTGAAGAAAATATAGAGAAATTTTGAATGCAGAGCGTATTTTAAAAATAAAACATTTTAGTCTCATGTTTTTCCATCAATGACATTGCCTTAAGTTGCATTATGTTTAATGATGTCAGTGTCGTCTCGTCTTCATCACGGAAAGAAGGTCGAGTATTTTTGGCCATAGCTTCTGTTAATGAAGTGAGCACTGATCTCACCTCCAGATGTCGCTGCCCTTGGAGAAGGTGGATGATTTGATGACCTCCGGTGCCATCCAGGCGTAGGTTCCCGCCGTGCTCATCTTCGTCGTCTTGTGCCACTCGCGCGCCAGACCGAAATCTGTGATCTTCAGGGTTTTGCCCTCGATGCTGTCCTTCTCCACAGGCTCCGCCAGCAGAACTGACACACACACACACACACACAGAGAGAGACAGACGTCAGAAATACTGTCTCTATAATGTTTTCCCTCTGAAAACAATGTGCCATCGTACAAACACAAACCACACAACAGCAGCAGCAGACACACACAGATATATATATATATATATTAGGGCTGGACGATATGGCCAAAATTGATATCACGATATATTTCTTAATTTCGGTCGATACGATATAATTTCGATATCGATATGAACGCTATTAATCTGAAATAGAAATCTTTTGTAACATTATAAATGCCTTTATCATCACTTTTGATCAATTTTAAGCATCCTTGCTAAATAAAAGTATTAATTTCTATAATTTCTTTCCCCCTCTAAAAGAGTTGGGTTAAGAGTGGGCTTCTTAAGTAGTGGGGTTATACAAGCCTGTTTAAATGTTGAGGGAACATTTATGTGTCAACACATCCCACCGCTGTATGGCCAGATGAGACGCAAACTACGGTTTCTTGACTGGATAACCAGTGTCTCGCTAGTAAAGTTTTAATGGATGAAGACTGCAATCAAGGTAAAGACGATTGCGGTGGCGTACAGGAGTTGTACAGTACAGTAAGCACGTGCGAGTCCATTATAATAATGCGTGTATGAGTGCTCTTGACGCACTGATCGCACATTGTATTTATGCACAGGCACAGACATTTCCGTACATTCACGTTGTTTCCACACACATTCACGATAATGTTTTGATTTGTCATGTTTATGTTGCTGTGTTTAGTTATACGGAAATGGATCCGTGTACTGTACAGGTGCATCTCAATAAATTAGAATGTCGTGGAAAAGTTCATTTATTTCAGTAATTCAACTCAAATTGTGAAACTCGTGTATTAAATAAATTCAATGCACACAGACTGAAGTAGTTTAAGTCTTTGGTTCTTTTAATTGTGATGATTTTGGCTCACATTTAACAAAAACCCACCAATTCACTATCTCAACAAATTAGAATACTTCATAAGAACTTCATACTTCAATAAAAAAAACATTTTTAGTGAATTGTTGGCCTTCTGGAAAGTATGTTCATTTACTGTACATGTACTCAATAACTTGGTAGGGTCTCCTTCTGCTTTAATTACTGCCTCAATTCGGCGTGGCATGGAGGTAATCAGTTTGTGGCACTGCTGAGGTGATATGGAAGCCCAGGTTTCTTTGACAGTAGCCTTCAGCTCATCTGCATTTTTTGGTCTCTTGTTTCTCATTTTCCTCTTGACAATACCCCATAGATTCTCTATGGGGTTCAGGTCTGGTGAGTTTGCTGGCCAGTCAAGCACACCAACACCATGGTCATTTAACCAACTTTTGGTGCTTTTGGCAGTGTGGGCAGGTGCCAAATCCTGCTGGAAAATAAAATCAGCATCTTCAAAAAGCTGGTCTGCAGAAGGAAGCATGAAGTGCAAAATTTCTTGGTAAACGGGTGCAGGGACGTTGGTTTTCAAAAAACACAATGGACCAACACCAGCAGATGACATTGCACCCCAAATCATCACAGACTGTGGAAACTTAACACTGGACTTCAAGCAACTTGGGCTATGAGCTTCTCCACCCTTCCTCCAGACTCTAGGACCTTGGTTTCCAAATGAAATACAAAACTTGCTCTCATCTGAAAAGAGGACTTTGGACCACTGGGCAACAGTCCAGTTCTTCTTCTCCTTAGCCCAGGTAAGACGCCTCTGACGTTGTCTGTGGTTCAGAAGTGGCTTAACAAGAGGAATACGACAACTGTAGCCAAATTCCTTGACACGTCTGTGTGTGGTGGCTCTTGATGCCTTGACCCCAGCCTCAGTCCATTCCTTGTGAAGTTCACTCAAATTCTTGAATCGATTTTGCTTGACAATCCTCATAAGGCTGCGGTTCTCTCGGTTGGTTGTGCATCTTTTTCCTTCCACTCAACTTTCTGTTAACATACTTGGATACAGCACTCTGTGAACAGCCAGCTTCTTTGACAATGAATGTTTGTGGCTTACCCTCCTTGTGAAGGGTGTCAATGATTGTCTTCTGGACAACTGTCAGATCAGCAGTCTTCCCCATGATTGTGTAGCCTAGTGAACCAAACTGAGAGACCATTTTGAAGGCTCAGGAAACCTTTGCAGGTGTTTTGAGTTGATTAGCTGATTGGCATGTCACCATATTCTAATTTGTTGAGACAGTGAATTGGTGGGTTTTTGTTAAATATGAGCCAAAATCATCACAATTAAAAGAACCAAAGACTTAAACTACTTCAATCTGTGTGCATTGAATTTATTTAATACACGAGTTTCACAATTTGAGTTGAATTACTGAAATAAATATATATATATATATATATTGCGTTCTGCAAGTGAACAACACCTTGTGGTGCCATCCCAAAGAGGCACAAAATCTCTATCACGGACCTTTTCCTGGACTGTGCCCAGCTGGTGGAATGACCTCCCGATCTCAATTCGAA